ACAAAACAATGTTGTTAAAGTCTTAACTAGATTCTGATATTTGTGTAGCTCTGAGTCTGAAGTCTGTTCCTTTGCTGTTAAAAGAAAAAACATTAGAAAGTATTAAAGAAGTGGCTGGCTCAGTTGGAAGAGCATTCAGCTCTTGATCTTGAGGTCGTGAGTTCGAGCCCATGTTGAATGTAGAGATTACATTAAAATCTTAAGGGAAAAAAAAGTATTAAAGAAGTGACTGGCTAACCCTAAACTGAGACTGTCTCTTTAATACAAGGGAAACATTGGAAGAGATCAACTTCTCACTGTGTTACCTAGTGCTGACTGCAAGGACCACCTAAAAACATTTCACTCAGAGATAATACCATACCACTCAGAGAGTGGTACCCATGGTTTGCAAACATTGCTTTCATCTATGCATCATCATCTAACTGTTTCTTATGCCTGATTTGTGGATGGCTGATTTTGGCTTATTCCTGTTATTAAGGGAACACCAGTCCTCATGGTCAAACCACAGTTACCATTGAATAAGTTTTGTTTGTTTGTTTATTTAGAGAGAGGAGGGAAGAGGGAGAGAAAAACACTAGTACACTCCACGGTGAGCGTGGAGCCTGACACGGGGCTTGATCCCATGACCCTGAGATCATGACCTCAGCTGAAACCAAGAGTTGGATGCTCAACTGACTGTGTCACCCAGGGGCCCCACCTTTGAGTAAGTTTTAAAACAACTTACTAAAAAGATTTAGGATATCAATTTATTTATATATTTATTATTTTTAATTAAATTTTTTTTAGAGGAGAGGGACAGAGGGAGAAAGAATCTTTTTTTTTTAAGATTTTATTTATTTATTTGACAGAGAGATAGCACAAAATGGCAGAGCGGCAGGCAGCGGGAGAGGGAGAAGTAGGCTCTCTGCTGAGCAAGGAGCCTGACGTGGGGCTCGATCCCAGGACCCTGGGATCGTGACCTGAGCTGAAGGCAGATGCTTAACCGACTGAGCCACCCAGGCGCCCCAAGAAAGAGAATCTTAAGCAGGCTCCATGCCCAGTATGGAGCTGGATGTGGGCCTCAGTCTCATGACCCTGAGATCATGACCTGAGCCAAAATCAAGTTGGAGGCTTAACCTACTGAGCCACCCACGGGCTCTGGAATATTGTTTTTATTGGCCTGTTTTCTCCAAGGGCTACGTAATTTATATTCCAGAGTCAGTAATGTAAAACGAAAAACTTTTACCATCTAGGCATCCAGGAAGGGGGAGCCTGACAGCAGACTGGCTGAATGTAGTAGAGTGTCTTAGTTAAACTTTTGGGTGCAAGGAGCAGAAGCCCATTGACACAAGCTCTAGTGAAGGGGGCTTGCTATAAACCCTGGTGGGAGCCTAGAGCAGGGATGCAGTGTTCAGGGTTTGATGGAAACTGGAGATGGCGTGCCTGGGTGGCTCAGTCATTAAGCATCTGCCTTCGACTCAGGTCATGATCCCAGGGTCCTGGGATTGAGCCCTGTGTCAGGCTCCCTACTCAGTGGGAAGCCTGCTTCTCCCTCTCCTACTCCCCCTGCTTGTGTTCCCTCTCTTGCTGTGTCTCTCTCTGTCAAATAAATAAATAAAATCTTAAAAAAAAAATAAAAAAGCAACTGAAGAGCTGTCAGGATCTAAAGTTTTTTTTTTCTTTTAAGATTTTAAAAAATTTATTTGTCAGAGAGAGAGAGAGCACAAGCAGGGGGAGTGGCAGAGGGAGAAGCAGCCTCCCCATTGAGCAAGGAGCCCAATGTGGGACTTGATCACAGGATCCTGGGATCATGACTTGAGCCAAAGGGAGACACTTAACCACCTGAGCTGCCCAGGCATCCCTAAAGCTCCTCCCCCCCAATTTTCATCCGTGCTTTTTATCTGTGTATGTTTATTCTCTACTTGGTTCTTCAGCTGTTTTTTTTTTTTTCCCCTGCCTACTCATCAGTTTACCCAGGGCCCAACATGTTGGCTTTGTGGCCACACCAAGCTGTGACCTCTCTCCACGAGCTTAAATTAATCAACACTGCCCTGCCCCCAATCCTTTGATAAAGATAAGTGACATTTTTAATACTTTTATAAATGTTATGTGAATGAAGAGGCAAGAGACAACTTTTCTTCACTCCCCATCAACTAACTTGTATCCCCTAAGGCGTCTTCAAAATGGAAATTCTGGAGCTGCCACTGGTAATGTCAGACTAACAATATTTATTTCCTTCCAAATGAAGTTCCCCATAGTTTCTGACTCTGGCTTTGTGACTCAGTGTTGCAGTTACAGATTACCAGGGAGAAACCTGATTTACCCTTGGGTTAATATCCTCCCCACTGGGTGTAGTTACAAGGTCTAGACGTGGTCATCCAATCCTACCCCTGCAGTAGAGGCAGTGGAAACCATTCCCAGAGAAGAGGGCATGGGCAGGTAAGTACAGAGGGAAAGGTTAAATGCCCTTATAGTCCTGACCTCTGGTCTCATCCATTTATGGGCAGATCCTCAGAGTTGAGGTCTCATCATGGATGTTTAATTACTCTTCAGGGTATGCTCTAAGAACGTGGAGTCTTACAGGAATGAGTCAGAAGTAACTTAGAACTGACTCAGAAAGAGATCTGCACGTTACTAGGAAGAGAAAGTGTCCTTTATTGAGCTGAAATATCTCTGTCAGGTATTCTGTAAGGACAAATGATGGCATATTGGCTGAGCTATTTAAGAAAACTGGTGTTAGATATTTGGGTAGTTAGGCCAAGTTTGTATGCTTTTAGTTTTCTGCTTCTCCAGTCTCTCCACCTGAGTATTAGGTCTTTGATCTTCCTTTCCAGAATGCGATTGCTTCCACAGTGAGTCTGTCTCTTTTTGATCTTCCTCCTTAGATTGTGATTACCTCCAGAGTAGGGCTTCTTAATCTCTTCACCTAGCATATTTAGTGCTTAATCTGTATTACGGCATTGAAGAAAGACTGGAGAGATGAAGCTCATGGGTTCATGTGGGTCTGTTTTAAGTTTTAGTCAAGTATTCATTGGAGGAAAATGGAATTCGTTAGGTAAAATGATAGTCTATTTCTGTTATTTGGGGCACTCTGGGCCACGAGGGCCATAGATTATTTTGAGTTCTTTATGCTTCCTTTGTCCCTATGCTGATTTGGGACCTTGATGGACAGAGTGGGACCATTAGAGGTAGTAGATTCTGAACTGGCCCGCATTCAGTCATCTTTCTATAATTAGAACTGACAGCTACCACCCATGTTGCCCACCTATAACACTTCTCACTTTCCGTCTCTGGAAATGAATCTTTGCTTTGTGTGTGTGTGTGTGACACACATTTTGTTAATGTGGTTTATTTGTTAGAGCAGTTTCAGGTTTACAGAAAAAAGAGTGGAAAAGTACAGAGTTCCTATATATCCCCACACTCCCACTCCCTCCCCCCAGTTTCCCCTATTGTTAATATCTTGATTTAGTGTGGTACTTTGTTTCAGTTGCTGAGCCAATATGATAGGTTTTTTTATTTAAAAAAATTTTTTTTAAAGATTTTATTATTTATTTGAGAGAGGGATAGAGCATAAGCAGGGGGAGCAGCAGAGAGAGAGGGAGAAGCAGGCTCCCCACCGAGCAAGGAGCCCGATGCGGGGCTCGATCCCTGGACCCTGGGATTATGACCTGAGCCGAAGGCAGACGCCCATCCGACTGAGCCACCCAGGCGCCCCAGGTTTTTTTATTTTTTTTAAAGATTTTATTTATTTTTGAGAGAGAGGGCTCACGAGCATGAGCGGGGGAGGGGCAGAGGGAGAAGCAGATTCCCTGCTGAGCAGGGAGCCCAATGCAGGACTCTATCCCAGCACCCTGGGATCATGACCTGAGCTACCCAGGCGCCCTGATAGGTTATTTTTAACTAATATACATAGTTTACTAGTTTACATTAGGGTTTCTTCTTTGTGTTGTACCTTCTGTGGGTTTTGACAAAAGTATGATGACCTATATCCATCATTACAGTATCATACAGAATAGTTTCACTGCACTAAAAATCCCCTGTGCTCCACCCATTCATCCTTCCCCCAGCCCCTGGTGACCACTGATTGTTTTATTGGCTATATAATTTTTTGCCTTTTCCAGAATGTCATATAATTGGAATCATATAGTATGTAGCCTTGTCAGATTGGCATCTTTCACATAGCAATATGCATATAAAGTTCCTCAGTGTTTTTTTGTGCCTTGATAGCTCATTTCTTTTTATCACTGAGTAATATTCCGTTGTATGGCTCTATCACAATTTTGTTTATCCATTGGCCCATTGAAGGACATCTTGGTTGCTTCCAAGGTTTGGTAGTTGTAAATAAAGCTGCCATAAACATTCGTGTGCAAGTTTTTGTGTGGAGGTAAGTTTTCAGCTTATTTGGGTAGATACCAAGGAGCATGATTGCTGATCAAATGGTAGAGTATGTTTAGCATTTGAAGAAACTGCCAGAGTGTCTTCCAAGGTGGTTTTACCATTTTACCTTACCAGCAGCACTGAGTGAGAGGTATTGTTGTTCCATGTACTCACCAGCATTTGATCCATAACTTATTTTGAGTTATCTATGCCTCATCTGCCCCTACACTGATTTGGGACCTTGCTGAGCAAAGAGGGATCAGGAAGTAGTAGTAGTAGTAGGTTGTGGACTGGCCTGTTTAGTCATTTTTCTATATTTAGAATTGACAGCTACCACCATTTCCCATTTATGACACTTCTCATTTTCTTCTGGATCTTCTCATCTGGAAATGAATCTTTTCTTTGGTTAGACTTTTGGATAATAATTGATTCCTTTTTTTCCATAACACAATTTTATAACAGGTCTGAGAGATGACTATAGGAATATAAGATCGTATTCTGGACCATCCTAGCCACTTAGAGTTAAAATTGGCACCATGATGTTTTTAATACTGAATTAAAATACTTTATGAAACATCTCATACCAGCATATGCATTTTTCATATTTGCTGAAGGAATATAATTATCATAATTTGTTTTCATAGATTATCTTGATAATGGTAATAATAAAATGGCAATTCAGCAAGCAGATAAATTGTTGAAGAAACATAAGGATCTTCATTGTGCTAAGGTAAGTTCATTTGCTCTTGAGTTACTTATATTTGGTGGGTTATATATTATAATCTTAAAAGGGAAAAGATATTAAATCTGTTAAGGACTTTCTTCAGGTTTTTTTTCCCCCAGGTTATGTTTTGTATTGTTTTTTAGGCAGGCTCCATGCCCAGTGTGGAGCCCAATGCAGGGCTTGAACTCACAACCCTGAGATGAAGAGTCACACACTCCACCAACTGAGCCAGCCAGGCGCCTCTCTAAGCTCTAAGCCATTTCTTTTTTAAAGATTTTATTTATTCATTCGAGACACAGGGATACAGAGAGAGAGAGAGCACGAGCAGGGGGAGAAGCAGAGGAAGAAGCAGGCTCCCTGCTGAGCCAGAGCCGGACGTGGGGCTCAATCCCAGGATCCTGGGATCATGACCCGAGCCGAAGGCAGATGCTTAACCATCTGAGCCACCCAGGCGCCCCTAAGCCATTTATTTTTCTGATTACTTAAATGCCATAAATAGTATTTAATTAAAAGCTAGCGGTTTATTTCTTTGGATATTTTGGACATAACTTAGCTAACTTAATTATTTTATATTGATAGACTTCTTTTTTTTAAGCAACTTTGTGCCTTTTATTTATTTTTTTAAAGTAGGTTCCATGCCCAACATGGGGTTTGAACTCACAGCCTCGAGATTGAGAGTTGTATGCTGTAGAGCCTGAGCCAGCCACGTGCCCCTGTTCTGCCTTCTTAACATGACTGAATAGGAAAGCCTCTTGATGTGCTGCGATTTTTAGTAAAATATGGTTTACTTGATCAGCAACCTAGGCGTACCTTACAGCTTATCTTGTGTTTTCAAGTTGGCCTTCTTTGGCTTATTTTTTTTTTTAAGATTTTATTTATTTATTTGACAGAGCATAAGCAGGGGGAGCAGGAGAGGGATTAGCAGGCTCCCCTCTGAGCAGGGAGCTTTGGCTCATAGTTTCATTTCTGTCCTTTTAAAACTAATGTTTTTCCTATGTATCAGGTTTTAAAGGCAATTGGTTTACAGAGAACTGGAAAGCAAGAGGAAGCCTTCATGTTAGCACAGGAGGTGGCGGCCCTTGAACCGACAGATGACAACTCGCTACAGGCACTGACTATTCTTTACCGGGAGATGCACCGACGTATGTTTCTTTTTCATTGTTTTTAAACCTGAGCTGTAGTTTTTGTTTCTTTCTTCTTCTTCTTCTTTTTTTTTAAAGATTTATTTATTTATTTTAGAGAGCGAGAAAGCACGCAAGTGGGGGGGAAGGGCAGAGGGAGAGGGAGAGAGAGAATCTTTTTTTTTTTTTTTTAAAGATTTTATTTATTTATTGGAGAGAGATTGAGAGCCAGAGAGCACGAGAGGGAAGAGTGTCAGAGGGAGAAGCAGACTCCCTGCTGAGCAGGGAGCCCGATGTGGGACTTGATCCCGGGACTCCAGGATCATGACCTGAGCCGAAGGCAGTTGCTTAACCAACTGAGCCACCCAGGCGCCCGAGAGAGAGAGAATCTTAAGCAGGCTCCACACCCAGCATAGAGCCCAAGCTGGGGCTCGATCTCACGACCCTGAGATCATGAGCTGAGCTGAAATTAAGAGTTGGATGCTTAATCAACTGAGCCACCCAAGTGCCCCAAGGTTTTGTTTATTTCTGATTGAGTTCTGTATTTGTTCATTTTACTTATCACTCATGTTTTGAGTGGATGGCAATAGGCAAAATAATGCATTAACCGTGATTTACAAAGACTGTAGGCAGAAAGGATATTTTACGTGTATTAGTATCCTGAATTGGAATGAGTTGACGTTGGTTTGTGACATTTTGATTTACTGAATGGAAGAGTTACCCTTTTTACTATTTGATAGGAAAATTTCAAACATAAAGAAAACATAAAAAAAACCAGAACAGCATAATAAATCTCAGTGAACTCATTATCCACCTTCAGCAGTCATTGTCCCATGGCAAATTTTACTGTATCCCATCCCCTGCCAGATTATTTCTTTTTTTTTGACAGAGAGAGACACAGCGAGAGAGGGAACACAAGCAGGGCAAGTGGGAGAGGGAGAAGCAGGCTTCCCGCGGAACAGGGAGCCCGATGCGGGGCTCGATCCCAGGACCCTGGGATCATGACCTGAGCTGAAGTCAGACGCTTAACGAAGTCAGATGCTTAACGACTGAGCCACCCAGGCGCCCCTGCCCATCCCCCGCCAGATTATTTCTAAGCATATTCTAGGTAGTCTACTATTTCACCTGTAAATAAAGTTTTTCATTGTTAATTTCTCAAATCTTTTATTATGGAATAAAACATATCTTCCATAATACATATTATAGAAGATACATTTTATATAACACACTAGAATACTTGATGTGGAATAATGAACATTCATGAATCTACCAGCCAACTTAAGAAAGAGCATTATCAATACTGACAGCTTCCTATGTGTTCCTTATCAATCTCACTTCCCCTTTTACATTCCAAGAGGTACTTGTTTTCCTGAATATATTTTATTATCTTGCTTTTAAAAAAATCTTTATCACATTTGTTTTTCTAAGTAATACTTTTTTGCTCAGTTTTGACTTACTTGAAAAGTTTTGCCTTTGGAGCGTCTGGATCGTGCAGTTAATAATCTGTCTTCAGCTCAGGTTATGATCCCAGAGTCCAGGATAGAGCCCCACATTGGGCTCCCTGCTCAGTATGGGGAGTCTGCTTCTCCTTCTGCCCCTCACTGCACTCGTGCTCTCACACTCTCTCAAATAAATGGGTAAAATCTTAAAAAAAAAAAAAAGTTTGCCCTCAAACCATCACGTTGTATACCTTAAGATATACAATTTTTATTTGTCAGTTATTCCTCAATAAAGCTGGAAAAAATAAAATAAAAATTTTTGCCAACCTAGTGGACAGAAATGTTACTTTCCAGTTTTGTTTTTCATTTTTTTTAAAGATTTTATTTATTAGGGAGCGCGAGCAAGAGCGGGGAGGGGCAGAGGGAGAGGGAGAAGCAGACTCCCTGTTGAGCAGGGAACCCAATGTGGGGCTCGATCCCAGGACCCTGGGATCATGACCTGAGCTGAAGGCAGATGCTTAGCTGACTGAGCCACCCAGGTGCCCCGTGCTTTTCATTTTTTAAAAGACAGAACTTAAGAGTTGGGTATTATATCTGATTATTTAGGGCTTATGTTGATTTAGGGTTATGGATTCTCCCCCAGTGTTTTTTTAAAAATCATTTATCTCACAAATACTGAATATTTCTCTATGACAAGTATTGCATCCAAGTCAAAGATGAAAGGTGCTCTCTCTGCCCTTGTGTTACTTACAGTCTTTAAGGGGAAATTCAGGGGGATGTGGCTGGCTCAGTCAGTAGAGCATGCAACTCTTGATCTCAGGGTCGTGGATTCAAGCCCCACGTTGGATGCAGAGCTCAATTAAAAAAAAAACAAGGGGAAATTCATCAATAGACTCTTTTCTACATTATGTGTTAATAAATGTTATAAGAGACTTGTTTAAAAAATTTAAAGATGGTGGAAGGAAGCAGTAATCATACTGGGGGGAGGTGCAGAGATGGTGTTTGGGAAGGATTACATTTGAACTTGCACAGTTCCTTGCAGAGAGGATTACATTAGAGCTGGGTCTTGGTCTTGGATGATGTTCACTGAGTAGAAAAGAGAGGAAAGGAGAACCCAGGCAGAGGGAACATGCAGAGGTATGATACAGCACTGAGAGTCTAGTGGAGCTACAAGTGTTTTGTGGTGCTGGAACACTAAGTACTGTGGGAAATAAGAAGGAAGGAGACAGAGAGGCTAGATCCTGGAGGGTCTTATTTATATATTGCAAATGTGTTGGGGAGGCCTGAGCTATTCCATGCTTCATCGAATAACACCCAACCAAGAGAAGAGTAATGATCAGATGAGGCAAAACAAATACTTTCTTCTTCCTTAGTGATAGGAGACATCTATTTCCTCCAAAGGGGAAAAAAATTAAATGCTGTTAAGATTTAAGGTATACTTCAATAATTAAGGAATGTCCTATTTCTCTTTATCCTAGCGGAGTTAGTTACAAAACTTTATGAGGCAGCTGTGAAGAAAGTTCCCAATAGTGAGGAGTATCACTCTCACCTCTTCATGGCTTATGCCAGAGTGGGCGAATATAAGAAAATGCAACAGGTAACTTGATTCCAAACCTCCTGGGCTGTGGGATTTGCTATTAGACACAAGTCTTTTTAAATGTGACTTAATTGTAGGAATGTGTGTGCATGCATGTGGGTGTTTGCGTGTGTGTGTAGCGCCGAATCTCTGTATTTGTGTGTGGAGATCAGGCAGATACTTTCTTGTGTGTTTTAAAGATGAACTATTATGCAAGTTCTTCAAGTGTTTTATTTGGGGAAATCTGATTGTTCTTTGGTGGCCTGGTGGTATGTTTTGTTTGGTTCTGGTAAGTTGGCTTCAAATTGTCCCACTGCATGAGATTGTTGTTATAGTTTCAGAAAATAGGCAGAAATCCCAGAACAAAAAATGAACAGATTATAGAAAGATTAACCTTAAAGTTTAGATCTAATTTGTAAATTTAACTCTTTGTAGCCTGCGGAGATTTTTAAATCCACCTGGGAAAACTCCCCACTGTTTGGATGCTTGTCTTTTTCGTAGAGGCAGCTTATTTGCCAGTTAGCACATTTTAGGTGTTGCATATATTTAGATGTATGTGAAGGAGCCTCATTTGGACTAGTGGGTGGGTAAAGTCAACATCCCAGAGAAATGAAACTGTTAAGCCCATGAAGGGTTATGATGTCAAACTAGCATTTTTTTAGAAATGGCTTTGTTTGTGGGTATAATTTCTTCTGAAAGCAAAGCTTTCTTACTTGGGTTTTTATTTTGTCTTATTCTTTACTTGAAATATCAGACTATAACAATAGATAAATTAAGGAGGGTGGAAGGTACTATATTAATATAAATCCTTTCTCCTTAAAATTAATCTTTGTATTTGCTTATGCAAGTTTTTAAATTGGAAGAATTTTTTCCCCCAAATTTAATTCTTTGAAGAAGTTTTATTTCCTGATGGAGTATATTCTCAGGAAAAATAATCAGATTATAATTTTTCTTTTCTTTTTTTTTTTTTTAAAGATTTTGTTTATTTATTTGACAGAGAGAGACACAGCAAGAGAGGGAACACAAGCAGGGGTAGTGGGAGAGGGAGAAGCAGGCTTCCTGCAGAGCAGGGAGCCCGATACGGGGCTTGATCCCAGGACCCTGGGATCATGACCTGAGCCGAAGGCAGACGCTTAATGACTGAGCCACCCAGGCACCCCTATAATTTTTCTTTTAGTGTAAAATGGGTATATATTTTTAAATTGACAATGCTAACAGGAAAATATGTAAATCTTTAGTATCATTTTTACTTCTAGGAATATGTTTTAAGGAAAGTATATTAAATGTCCGTTAATACAGATACAGTTAAAGGAATTATGATTCATCCATGTGGGAGAATAAAATGCAACACCCCACCTCCCCTTAAATGGTACTGTGTCTTTGTCTTTCTCTACCAGTCCGTAAAGGATATATCTCTAAGGGAATGTACCAAAATGTTACCAGGATATAGGCCTACGGATACTTTTCTTTCTCTTAATTTTTTTTTTTTAAAGCATGTGTTAATTTTATGATCCCACAAAACATATTTTTGAACCATGTCTTTTATATATACATGCAATAAAATAACAAAAAGGACAAGTTAATGCAATGACAATATTAGGGTAAATTTTGAAAAAGGGAAAAAATAATCTGCCACTTGAACAGATTTTTTTTTTTTTTTTTTTTTTTTTAACTGTTGAACTTTACATGTTGGCAGAGATATACATATACCTTTGCATTTTGCTCTTGGGAGCCACTGCTTTGATGTGGCTTAATAGTCATTGATCCTAAATATGTTGTAGCTATAGCTTTTTTTTTTATGTTTGTTTTTAGGATTTTATTTATTTGAGAGAGAGAGAGTGAGCGAGAGAAATGGAGCAGGAGAGGGGCAGAGGGAGAGGGAGAAGCAGACTCCCCGCTGAGCAGGGAGCCCAATGACGACATGGGGCTTGATCCGGCACTCGGGGATCATGACCTGAGCTGAAGGCAGACGCTTAACCAGTGGAGTCAGCCAGGCACCCTGCGATAGCTTGTTTTTACATTATTCCATTCTAGGATATTGGAAGAATAGAGCGTTCTGGTGTTAAATGTTTCAGAATGAAAAGTCTAATTTTTATTTTACCTTTTTTGCTGCTTAAGATTGTTACAATTTCTTAGTTTATGTTTATTTTGAAAGTGGTATGTCAGTGTGGGGTAATAGGTAGTTTACAAATTAAATGTCATGTTTCATGAGGGTGAGCGTTTTTGTTCACTGTTGAATCCTCAGTGCCTAGAATAGTATCTGCACAATAAATTTTTGTTAAATAAATGAATGATTTGCATTAACTGGTGGAGGTAAAAGGGAGGAAAGCCAGGGAATCAGAAAATATAAGGACTTCTGCTGTCCCAAATGACATTCCTGGCAGGTAATATTTAAAATCATCTTGAATGAAGATTTGCTAGGGGTTCAAAGGTAATTGGACTTTTCTTTTTCTGTAAATGGTGTTTCCTTTTGTTCGTTTGTTCATTTGTTTTTTGACGTTCCTGTATTCTGAGTCACCAGTTCACAGCCATGTTTTTTAAACTTGTCTGTCTTCAAAAGTTTTCTGTATCAGCAGAGTATCAGTGTCTGCAACATAGTATAGGGTGCAGGCATGAAATTTTTGCCTTATCTTTTGTATTAAAAATTCATATTTTATGTTTTACTCCTTTTTATTTATGTCATTATAAAAATGTTTTCTTTCCCCAAATGATCAAGTAAAATTGGTTTTCTAACATTTCATTCCATTCCTCCAGAGTTTAGTGTGAGGAGCAGGGACCTTAAGCCATCTTAGACTCTACTTTTTTTTTTTTAATTTTGTTTATTTGAGAGAGAGAGAGAGGGAGAGCAGGAGAGAGAGCGAGCAGGGGGAGGGGCAGAGGCAGAAGGAGAAGCAGACTCCCCGCTGAGCAAGGAGCCTTACTCAGGGCTCCGCCCCAGGACCTTGAGATCATGACCTGAGCCAAAGGCAGATGCTTAACCCACTGAGCCCCCCAGGCGCCCCTTAGACTCTCCTCCTTATCCTGTATGTCCATTTTGTCTTTAAATCATCTTGACTCTTTTTCTACAGTGTCTTTGAGGTCTCTTTCCATTTGATCTACCTCATCCTGGTTTAGTTCCTCATTGCCTCATCTCTTCTATTTTTTTTCCTTCACAGTACAGCTAAAATACTCTTCCTAGAAGAGTATAGATGTGTACGTATCACTCCCTTACTCGGTGTAACACCCCATGCGGAGTGCTTTACAACCAGGGTATCTCAGTTGCCTCTCAGCCCTTTTCCCTCCCTGTCCTCTTAATCCTTATTTATAACCAGACGTTCTGTTTGTTCTTGTCAGCATATGTCTCTTCTTTCTTTAATATTTTGTTCAGATTCAGATTTTGCTTCTACCTAGAATTGACTCACCCCAAGTGTTTCTCTTTGTGTATATGTATCCTTAACCCCATCTTGGCCTGTAGACACTCTGTTGACCTTCAAGGTTCATCTGAAAGACTGCTACTCTGAAGAAGGCTTTATTGATTAAGTTCCCTTCCCTACTTTCCCTTAAAGAAAGAAAAAGAAAGGAATGAACAAACTTAACCGTGCTTTTTTTGAAAACAAAAAGGCATCGTGTTTTTGTATAGGATGTTTATTTTTTTTGCCAAGTATTATTTTAGTCATTTGAATATTTGTCTTATCTCTTTCCCTAGCTTTTGTGTTTGGGACCGGGACTCAATCTTTGTATCATGGGCAGAATAGACATTTCCTTCCACTAAATAGGGGCTCCGTATAATTTTTCAAGTGGATTAAAGATAAGCAAAAGATAAAAAACATAAAATAGTAACTGTGACAATTAGCTGACTGAGTTCTTAGCATTACTAGTTGGCTAATTATGGGCAGATTCTCAGTTATGCATGAATAGATCTACTTTGTTCCTTCTTGCCGTGTCCCTGCTTTTAAGTATTTCATATTATACATTTCACAAAGAAAGGGTTCAGTTCAAGTTAATGGTATCTTGAAAGAACCTGATTATTTTCCTAACCTAAGAATTATTATTTTTTTAATAATGTCAGAGTAAACTTTTCTGATTTTTTTTTTTTAAAGATTTTATTTATGTATTAGAGAGAGACACAGCGAGAGAGGGAACACAAGCAGGGGGAGTAGGAGAGGGAGAAGCAGGCTTCCCGTGGAACAGGGAGCCCGATGCGGGGCTTGATCCCAGGACCCTGGGATCACGACCTGAGCGGAAGGCAGACGCTTAACGACTGAGCCACCCAGGCGCCCCTAAACTTTTATGATTTTAAGTTTAAATATACTGTCTGGGGGCGCCTGGGTGGCTCAGTCATTAAGCGTCTGCCTTCCGCTCAGGTCATGATCCCAGGGTTCTGGGATGGAGCCCCGCATCGGGCTCCCTGCTGAGGAGCAGGGAGCACCTCAATATTGTCAATTGAGCTTCTCCCTCTCCCACTCCCCCGGCTTGTGTTCCCTCTCTCGCTGTTTCTCTCTCTGTCAAATAAATAAATAAAATCTTTAAAAATAAATAAATAAATATGCTGTCTGCATTTTTTTGTTTTACTATAACTAGTTCAGTATTTTTAGGTAAGTTTGTTGGTATACATTCATAAGCCAAATTTTACGTTTGTTGGTAGTCTGTCAGAACCATATTGGATTGCTCTATTTTCCAAAAATACCGGCCTTTAATTTGAAGAAATCAGGTTCAAAAGGTGAAATATTCCTGATGTAAAAATTCACCTTTGTGATTACCTATATTGCTGTCCACTAGAGAATATCCATCAAGTCACTAGGCACTTACAGTAACTGGGATGTGTAGACGTGTTGCTCTTCTCCTAGGAAACTTCTTGCCACATATCTAGATCATTAATTGCCGTCTGTGTTTTGTTTTCCAAATTAAGCATTTATGGCTCTCTGTCTTTCAGGCTGGCATGGCTCTATATAAGATTGTCCCCAAAAACCCTTACTACTTTTGGTCTGTGATGAGCTTAATTATGCAAGTGAGTATGGCATTCAGAATGGGATTGAGATTTATTTTTATTTTTGTGTATAATTATTGTCCTTGTCTTCTGAACACCTTGGGTAATGTGTTGCAGCGTGTATCAAACAGGGACTTTACATAATGTCAATTGACTTTTTGAGTTGGGGAGTTTTGGTATTTGTTCCTTATGAGTTGGTATATCAGTTTATTTGTATGTAGCACACACTGTATTTCCCCTGAATCTTAAATCCATTACTGGGTTATTTGATCAAGTATGAGCCTCGAAAAATTGGATATTTTGACTTTAAAACAGTATTGTTTGTTAGCGAACACATTATTGAACTGGATGGCCTTGTTTTAACAATTCTATTTTTTGAACCTCAATTTGCTCTTTTGCAGAATGGAGATGCTTATCTCCCAGAGCTACTGTAAGGACCAGAAGGAGATAGTGTGTAAGAGAAGATAGGGAGGAAAGAGTTAAAATGTAGCGGTTAGGTCAGAGAGGCTCTGGGTTCAGACAGGTCTGCATTCATATACTGGTTTCAGCACATGTCTTAGAGAGCTGTTGGGGAATCTCTTAGTTTATCTATGAAACAAGCATAATAGCTGCCTTGAGCTACTGAGCTCTGAGCAGAATCTCAGGCAATGTTAAAATTATTAATAAGCATTGATTTAATTATCAATCTAAGGTAATCCTAATTATCGAAACTAGTTAATACTAGGCTGTATAAATGGAAGGTATTGGCATTTTCCCTCTAATATGTGAACATCCCAAAAAGACGTCTGAAAGGCTTTTACTCTTCAAACACCTGATGATACCTTTTACATATAATAAACAGTATAGGCATGTCCCCTCTTAACATAGTTCTAGAAAAATGTATGAATAACCGATTTAAAAGTTAGACCAGATTGTGGAAATCCAGTTTGTCAAAAATGTATAGGATAATGCATCTTTAATAAATCTCTTCTAAAGCAAACCACTCTGTAATGTATCTTCATGGCAAGTTCAAATTAGGTCTGATATTAGACATAGTGGACTGGTAATTACGTGCTGGAGTGACAGTAATGGTCTGCCTGGTAATAATATAAATAGTGCAAGCAGGGGGGAAATTAGAGTGAAATATTTATTTTTTTCTCCTATAGTCTATATCGGCACAGGATGAAAACCTCTCAAAAACGATGTTTCTGCCCCTCGCTGAAAGAATGGTAGAAAAAATGGTGAAAGAGGACAAGATAGAAGCCGAGGCTGAAGTGAGTAATGGAAGTCCTACAAAAGCCGTACTTTTGTATTTGCATGAGTTTGATATTGATACAATATGCTACGGTATTACAAACTGCTCTCTTATTCCAGTTAGAGAGCTGGGTCCTCATTCTTGTGTAAATATGAAGCTTTGGAAGTACCCAGCTTAAGTATAATGAACATGCTTACTGCTGATTTCATCTCATTTGAAGATAGTGTTCTTTTCTATTAGATACTTTTTAAATTAAATTAAAATTAAATTTTCTTAAGTAGGCTCCACACCCAGCATGGGGCCCAACTTGGGCTTAAATTCATGACCTTGATACCAAGACCTGAGCTGATATCAGGAGTCGGACACTTAACTGACTGAGCCACCTACATGCCCCTTGATAACTTTTTAAAAACATGCAAATGACTATTCTTATTGAAAAGTTTCGATTGTTGCATTTCTTCCTTGTTTTTTCTGTAAGGTTGAACTTTATTATATGATCTTGGAACGTTTGGGAAAGTACCAGGAAGCCTTGGATGTTATCAGAGGAAAATTAGGAGGTAATTTTTAAAGTTTTCCTAAAGTTTTTTTTCTTCTATTTAAACACGAAAAAAGTATTTTTAAAGATTTTATTTATTTATTTGAGAGAGAGTGAGTGAGCGAGAGAGCGAGAACAAGCTGGGGGGTGGCCAGGGGAGATGTAGAGGGAGAAGCAGACTCCCTGCTGAGCAGGGAGCCTGATGCGGGGCTCGATCCCAGGACCCTGAGATCATGACCTGAGCCGAAGGCAGACGCTTAACTGACTGAGCCAGTCACGCGCCCCAAACATGAAAAATATTTATTGTGGAAAATTTCTTCCTTATACAGAAACATAAAGATATAAAGACATAAAAAAAATCACTTGTGATCATCTTATGTTCTTCCAGACTTTCCTGTATGTTATACATTTACTTTAAAAATATATTGTATTTCATTTTATTTTTTAAAGATTTTATTTATTTGTGAGAGAGAGAGAGAGAGAGGAAGAGAGCACAAGTAAGGGCACAGCAGGCAGAGGGAGAAGCAGGATCCCCGCTGAGCAGGGAGCCCGATGTGGGACTCGATCCCGGGACTCCAGGATCATGACCTGAGCCGAAGGCAGACACTTAACGACTGAGCCACCCAGGCG